GCCACGTCACGTGGCTAGGAGTGGAAGACCGGGGCATGTAAGAAGAGAGGACACAGGCCATCTATTGGACTAAGCAGGTCAAACTGAAAGGAACAGTCCAAATGACAGCCCTGCCTTAGTTTAAAGCTAGGCTCTCTTTTCTGCTTATTACGGATCTTTGATAAGAAATACAATTGCTGAGAAGTCTGTTTTGCTTGCTGTTTGCTACGAGCATTGTGAGGCCCTTCCTGAATGTAACCCGCTGTGTAGTAGAATGGGTTGTAAACCTTCCTAAATGTAGTCTGATAGGTAATGGAATGAGTGATTGTACATAAACTAACCGGCATTTCTCGCTTCTGTAAACCTGCTTGCTTTGCACATTTCCCACCTACCCTACCCTCTTCCCCCTTCCCCCTTTTTCCTCCCGCCACAAGTAACGGACAAAGCCTTCCCGCCAAAGGACAGACAAAGGACGCCCAATCAGAGAACAACAAATGTCCTTACTTTAAAATCAACCAATCAGGCCCCTCATAATTTGAAACCTCCCCTGTGCTGTTTGTCTCTGTCTATAAAAACGCTGTACCAACCCTGATCGAGGTCCTCTTGCGTCACCGGCGACGAGTGCGCAGGGGACCAGGTTCGAACCTGCAATAAACGACCCTTGCCGCTTGGCTTTGACTCACGACTCTGGTGGACTTTTGTGGGAGGTTTTGGAACTTCGGGCATTACAAAACCATTCCTGAGGACCGGCGCCTCCGGCCTTTCGGGTACCGTCGTCTGGGTCAGCAGCAAGGACCCAGGATCCCTGCTGGATGACAGCCTCGTGGGAACAAGCCTGGGTTCACTCAGGCTTCGTGTTCTTTCTGGGTCTGGCACCGCAGCTCTGGACAGGCCCCTGCTGGGTGCCTGTGGCCTCAGGGTGGCCTGCTGAGGTCACGCCGGGCTGAGCCAAGGTGCCTGGAGCCCCGGGCTTCCTGCCCTGCTGGCTCCGACCGGCCAAGATCATTACCTGGGCAGAAGCCGGGAGGCTGGTGTCGGGTTGGGTCCGGTGTCGGCTCTGTCCCATCCCTCTGGCCTGAAGACCCCCCTGGGGAGAAGGAAGGGAGAGAGAAAGGGAAAGAGAACCAGAGAGAGCTAGGAGACTCGGAAGCACCAGCCCTGCCCAGCGCCGATTCGGAACCGGTGCCGGGCAAGGGGACCGGGACGGGCCTCTTCTTTCTTGGCGACTTTAAAGAACAAATCGACCGCCTGCTAGAAATGTTAGCTAGGCTCCTGGCGACTGAGGTGGTTGCTCAAGGGGAGTCAGAGAGAGAGGTGTTTGGGATTTGCGCAAACACGCAGCCGCTGGGCCAGAGGGGAAGGAAGCTGCGTAAACAGCGGTCCCTGCCTCCCCACTTTGTCAATCTCTCCCCTGCGTCTCTGGGACCTATAATAGGATAATGGAAACTAAAAGCATTTTTTAAAAAAAGTGCTGGTATGATCGAAACAGTAGCAGCCGTGGTATATTATGCCAGCGCGCGAACGCTACGTTAAGAGAAAGGGGGAAATGATGTATTTTTAAAGACCTCTTATTTGGTTCTAACTTAAAAGCCACGGTGTAAATTTCTTTCAACTAACGTTGCCTTAATTATTCATTTTCCTTGGCGCTAGTTAAAGAGCCAAGTAATGACTTCTGTCTCTTTGTATTTAGTCTATTATTGTTTGAGAAAGGCCAGAGCCGTGCAAAAATGATACTTGCTTCTTTTCTTTATTACCAACAGCCAACGTAGAGGGTAATATAATCACGGGCCGCTGAGAGACAATGACATTTTTATAGACCTTCCGGCAACCCTGGAGTGTGAAAGCGCCTGACAGATAGTTGGCTTTCCAGGCTGTTCTTTCGACTGCGTTTCCCATCAGACTCACCGCTGGGCGGGCAGCTCGAGGCGAGCCCCAAGTCTCCCTCCAGATGCGGTTTTAGGAAGCCTGACCAGCAGCGGTCTGTTTCAATGTGGTGATTTGATAGTCGGGAACCAAGGACAGAGGCCTGTGGGACCCTGGTCGTCACCTGAGGTCGCCCGTAGACCTTCTGGTTGGATTCTCGAATTCCTTGCAGACTTCAAAAGCCGGAGAACGTTACCCTCGCCCTGGGACGTTGGTGGCTCATTATCGTTTGGAAGGCTTTCTCGTGAAATGTGGTCCTTCTGTGGGGTCGTCTGAAACCCAGTCTATATGCAGGAGAGTCTCTGCTGCTCACCCTTTCCTGGGGAGGGATTCGTGTGAGGCTACCCCACGATCTCCATGGGATCGTTTTCCAGGCTGTGCAATCTGAGATCTAGGGGGACAGCTCAGGCATGTAGAACCCCTCAGCTGGGACAGAAAAACCAGGATCAGATCTGCACTGTGAGATTGTGCAGCTCACGTGGAGGACCACGGGCCTAGGTGCTTGTTCCTTTTTTGCTCTTTCGGGTTGTGCGGAGCGCAAGGCTGTTCCTTCAAATTTCAGAGAAACCCAACGTTTTCTTTTGCGGCTCCCGGAGGGGTGTCGAGTCTTAACATTCTTTGTAAGAATTCATAACTCTGGAAATGACCAAAGATGTCTTGCTTTGCGCTTGGGACCACGGGACGTGAGAGGCTAAATAAAAGTCAACGGGTGAAGCCAGGATAGGAAAAGATAGAACAGTAATAAACACAGGAGTGGAATAAGAATACAGGCTTTCATGGGGGCGGCTGGGGGGCTCAGTCGGTTAAGCGTCTGACTCTTGGTTTTGGCTCAGGTCGTGATCTCAAGGTTTGCGGGTTTGAGCCCCGCCTCGGGCGCTGTGCTGGGCCAGGAGCCTGCTTCGGATTCCGTGTCTCCCTCTTTGTCCGCCCCTTTTCCTGCTCATGCTCTGTATCTCTCTCTCAAAATAAATATTACTAACAAAAAAAAAAATTGAGTTTCTGAAACAGAGACGCTTAGATCACGACAAGGGGTTCAAAACCACCCTCCTCAACGTAGAGATGAAAAGAAATCTGAAGCCTGGAGAGGCTAAGTGGCTTGCACGATGGGACTGAGATCAAGAGGCAGAACTAGAAATAACATGAGGTGCCCGCCTAGGGCTTTCCCACCATTTCCTAACCCTCCTGTCCCCCACCCTCTTCCTTAAAGTCAGCCGTCTCTATGTGGCTTCGCTTTGAGCCCGCCCCTGACTTCGGGTTCTCTGTCTATAATTTATAACTTGGTTTCGCGTGGGGCAAAGATGCAGAGATGATAAGAGAATTTGTTGATAATTATCACTGCTGAAAAAAATCAGAAATGCCAAACACGCCTGAATCTTGCAGCTAGGGTTCCAAATTGAATCCAGCATAGTGCTTGGTTTTGAACTTCTGGCAAAGATCATGACCAATGGAACTGCTTTTCTCTCGAGATACTTCTCTGGTGTAAAACAAGCACTTTCCACCCGTCCAAGGGGCAGTTTAGCATCCTTGTTCGTTATCGTCCTTTCTCCGGCTTCCTGTGAACTGAACACGTCCACCTTTAAACAAAGGTGTCCTTGAGGGGCGCATGGGTGGCTCAGTCGGTGAAGCATCTGACTTCAGCCCAGGTCGTGACCTCACAGTTCGTGGGTTCGAGCCCCTCGCCGGGCTCGAGGGTGCAGAGTCAGCTCGGTATTCTCTCTTTCTTTCTCCGCTCCCCCAACTCGTGCTTTCTCTCTCTCTCTCTCTCTCTCTCTCTCTCTCTCAAACATAAATAAACTTAAAAATAAATAACCACAAAAAGAAAGAGGTGTCCCTAGGACAGATACCTGGGGACATCCCAGTCCCTGATTTCAAACATTCCCCGATTATAACACTGTAGCCATTAAACCAGTGTGGCACTGTGGAGTATTTTTCAGCCACAAAAGAAGAAGGAGATCTTACCATTTGCAACAACAAGCATGGATCTTTTGAATGAGGACAGGCCAAAAAAGCAGATCCCACACGATCTCACGTAGGTGTGAAATCTAACGCAAAACCCGACCCGACCTTGTAGATACCGAGGAGAGGCTGACGGGTGGCAGAATCAGGGGGGCTGGGGGGTGAGGGGAGTGAGCGAATGTGGTCAAAGGTACAAACTCCCAGGTACAAAATCATGGAGTTGGAACATAGAGCACGGCGCCTATGGGTAACGATTCGGTGTCGTGTACTTGAAAATCGCCCAGAGTGGATCTTACAAGCTCTCATCACGAGACAAAAATTCCTTGGCTACGTGTGGCCACGGACGTTCACCAGACTTGCTGTGGCGATCGGTTCCCGATAGGTGCGAATACCCAAGCATTATGCCGTACACCCCAAATTAATATGATGTTGTCCAATTATACCTCAAAAAATAAAGAGGTATCTTCCTGTATATGTGTAAATATGTCCACATATATGGACTCTATCATTATGGTTTAATTGTTTGGAGGCCACTGTTTTAAACATTCGTTTTTTAGGGGCGCCTGGGTGGCTCAGTCGGTTGAGCATCCGACTTCCGCTCAGGTCATGGTCTTGCGGTTCGTGGGTGCGAGCCCTGCGTCGGGCTCTGTGCTGACAGCTCAGAGCCTGGAGCCTGCTTCGGATTCTGTGTCTCCCTCTCTCTCTGCCCCTCCCCCTCTCAAGCTCTGTCTGTCTGTCTCTCTCAAAAATAAACATTAAAAAATTTAAATATTTATTTGTTTTTTATCAATCTGGTTTCACTCGTGATTTTAAGCAAAAAGCACACACACAAAATCCCCCAATGCTTCTCAATGGATATGGAAAATGCTTCTAGTAAAATACGGTTTCCACCTCCGGGGGTTATTCTCTGTTCATTTCCCGCCTCCATATCCGTTTTCCACCTTTCCTGTCTACCTTGTTGCTGAAGGAGACCCACACCCGAGGGCTGTAGCAACCAGGCCCTCAGAAGCTGGTTTTTGATTATGTTCAGCCCATGGCAGGTGCCGGCGGGTGATCGGAGGGCAAGAGGAAAGAAACGTCTCATCTTCTTTTTGTTTTTCCTGGCTCAGGCGACCCTTCACCTGGGCTCCAGCTCTGATACCGTGACTCCCTGCAGGCCTGGTCCAGTTACCAGATAAAACACAGGAGAGCCAGCTACATTTCAATTTCAGGTAAGCAATTAATACTTTTGAAGTACAGTACAACCTTGCTTTGCGAGCGTAATTCGTTCCCGAAACGCGCTGGTCGCCCAAAGCACCTGTCTATCAGAGCGCATTTCCCCCTAAGAAGTAAGGGAAACTCAGATGATTCGTTCCACAACCCCCAAATATTCACATAAAAATGGTTACAATTCTGTAATAGAATGCAAAATACTAAGGAAAATATAAAATATGAAGAAAAATAAACAAATTCCCCTGCACTCACCTTCGAAAACCTTCGTGGCTGACGTGCGGGAGACGAGAGACAGGAGGGTTACTGTGTGGGATGGCTTTCACTATCACTAATGGAATCACTGCTGTCTGTTGGCTAAAAGGAACCTTTTTCTGCCTTGGGGGGCCATTGTATACACCCACAGGGATGTTGACTATAGTATAGTATTAATAAATTCTTGTCATATACTGCCTGAGACCCGGCATCCAAGCATGGGCAATGATCACCCACAGTCCTGCAGGGAGAGAAAGACAGAGAGAGAAAGAGAAGAAACATTGGCTCGGTTGTGACCACATGACCTTCAGCGTCACATACGACTCGTATTGCCAGACGTCGCTCGTTGATCGAGGTAAAATTTACTAGAAATGTTTGCTCATCTCATGGAACCCTCACAGGGCGAGTTACTCGTGGCCCAAGGTGTCACTGTTTAAGTACGTGTGATATTTGGGACATGAATCCTAAAAAAATATTCATTGCTTTTTCTGTAATCCAAATGTAACCGAGCCCTTTGTATTTTTATTTGAATCCGGTGACCGTAGGCCTGTGGGTCGGAACAGCCACTCATTGCTAGACTCCAGTGCCCCTTCCGGTTAGTTCCCTGAAATGCGCTCACACCTCTGCGAACATTCCCTGCATGGAGATAATTACAATCTGGCCTCGCCTCCGTTTCCTTCTGGAGACCTGACCGGGTCTGTTTCCTCCTGGGACCCAATGCCCGTACACAGCCGGCCAAGGTCAGCACTGGGCAAGGTCAGCTGCTTTTAGGGCTCCGACTCCGAGTCCTAAGATAAACCGAAACTTTCAGGCGCCCTCTGTGTGAGAGAGGAAGCCTTCTGGAATCAGGATGAATCGTGGGGTGGGGGGGAGGGGGTGGGCGGAAGGGGATTGGGGGAAAGCACACTGGGCTGCTGAACTCAGAGACTGAATCGCTTCCCTTTGTCCCTTGGGCTCGAGTCTTAGCTTTATAGCCCCTTTCTATGCCAAGGTACCCATGAGAGCTAATGCGTGTATTTTCTTTATTCATTCAACAAACATGGACGAAACCCTGCTATGCGCCAGGCTACGGCCAAGATGCTTTTTTTTTTTTTTTTTTTTTTTAAATCTAATCTCTTCCATGGGGCGCCTGGGTGGCGCAGTCGGTTAAGCGTCCGACTTCAGCCGGGTCACGATCTCGCGGTCCGCGAGTTCGAGCCCCGCGTCGGGCTCTGGGCTGAAGGCTCGGAGCCTGGAGCCTGTTTCCGACTCTGTGTCTCCCTCTCTCTCTCTGCCCCTCCCCCGTTCATGCTCTGTCTCTCTCTGTCCCAAAAATAAATAAATGTTGAAAAAAAAAAATCTAATCTCTTCCTACTTTGTCACTTTTGGTGCATTTTCCTGGACGGTCTCAGACTCTTCAGCGTTCAGCTAGTTCCTCCTGGCTGGGTCTCGGGATTACAGCACCCTTTTTCAACGCCATGCACCCTCTCTCACCAACTAGGTGGTGGCAAAGCTACCAGAATCCCACAGCTCGTGACAAGTCCTGTGTTTTGCTGCAAATCTAGAGGAAATTCTACCCTGCCAGCCACTCCCTTGGGTGTTCGCTTGGTGGGGGTATGGCAATGATTCCCATTTAAAAGGCTGCTCAACAAAGGGTTTTGTTCCAAAGGTAGGAAGCTGTGTAGGTCAGCAAATCCTTCAAGGAGAGGTGGGGGACAAGTGCAGCCCGTGTCAGAGATTCACTCTGGCTTCACTCCCCCGACAGCATATTCAACTATGCATAGAATCTTCGAGTGGAATCATCTTTTTTAGCCACTACATTCATCAAGCTTGGAAGCTTTCCAGAGCAGGGAAGATATTTCCAACGTTTCCATGTCCTTAGGACCCAACACAGTGGCTGGTGCAATAGATGTATCTTGAATTAATGTCAAGTAGCCCGGATCACTAGGGAAGCCGGCTTTGCGAAGATCAGTTAAATCCCAGATGGCCGATTCTTGTGCCAAAGCGCCAAGTTTTAACTTGGACCTTATTTTGCTTTTTAAAATCGATTTCACTGAGGTATAATTTACATGCAATAAATTGCACCCTTTCAGAGTGGGGTCTGGTGAATGGGTGAACGTATCCATTTGTGTCACCCCATTCCTAATCAAGGTATGGACCATCTCTCCCACCCCAAAAATTTCTTTGTGAGGGCAGGGGTCCTACAGGGGGCAGGGGTTGTGTGTGGGGGGGGAGGGCAGGGCTCCTGCGGGTCGTGGGGCCATGCGGGTGGTGGGACCTTGCAGGCGGTGGGCAGGGATCGGAAGGGGCTGGGCAGGGGTCCTGCCGGATGGGGACAGGGGTCCTGCCCCGGGGGGCCACAGGGGTGGGAAGGGACAGGGCAGGGGTTCTGGGGGGGACAGGGGTCATGCAGGATGGGGCAGGGGTCAGAACCCCCCCACATGATCATTTTTGATGGGAAGTCGTCTAATACACGCTCCTTCCGTTTCATGCCATGAGGATATTGCTCGAACCCACGAACCGTGAGGTCATGACCTGAGCTGAAGTCGGACGCTCAACCGTCTGAGCCACCCAGGCGCCCCATCCTTTTCTTGTTTTTAAATCAGTCTTCTGGTTTCTAGCAGCATCCCTGCTCATTTCCTTGTTGGCCCCTTGAAATCTGTGATGGGTTATGAAACCAGATCATCAATATCATTAGAGTTGCTTAAAACAGAAGCAAATAGGGCTTTCTGGTGAACCAATTGGTCCAGATTTAGAGATTTGGTGTGATGTCCCTGTTCAAATATCTGTTGATCTTCCCTGCTCTCAGCTTTGCATATCTGAAGCCCAGTGTCCTCAGCCCCACTTTGACCCACAGAGAGGAAGCAAAAGCCTGTGTCCTTGATGGTCTTAGTGGAACCGGAGCGCCAGGCTGGGGGGCCACTTTCTACTTCCCAAGGCTGAATGACAGAGATTTTATTCATGCGGTGTTTAGAGTTTTCCACTGCAGAATGTGGACACCTCTAGTCCAATTATATCAGTGTGTTCTTTAAGAGTTTTGAAACAACTGAGGCGCCTGGGTGTCTCAGTGGGTTAAGCGTCTGACTCTCGGTTTCAGCTCAGGTTGTGATCTCGTGGTTGGTGGGTTCGAGCCCCACACCCGGCCCTGAGCCGACAGCGCAGAGCCTGCTTAGGATCCTCTGTCTCCCTCTCTCTTTGCCCCTCCCCTGCTCTCTCTCTCTCTCCCTCAAAGTAAATAAATAGGCTTAAAAAATTAAAAAGAATTTCGAAGCAATTATTTTATAGCAACTCTTTAGGCTCAACCACCTGCTGGTTTTTTTTTTTTTTTAATGTTTATTTATTTTTGAGACAGAGAGAGACAGAGTATGAGCAGCGGAGGGGCAGAGAGAGAGGGAGACACAGAATCTGAAGCAGGCTCCAGGCTCCGAGCAGTCAGCACAGAGCCCGACGCGGGGCTCGAACTCACGGACCGCGACATCACGACCTGAGCCAAAGTCAGATGCTCAACTGACTGAGCCACCCAGGCGCCCCAATGAAAGATATTTAGATAGTACAGAAACTAAAAGAAAAGTAAAAGCTGACCCCAATTTCACCACATGGATATAGAAACATACACATTTTCCCATCTAGTTTTTCAGACGTTTTCCAAAGCCTTCATTGACTTATGTAGCAGGGGCTTTGTGAGGCTGCACATTACAAGTTTTATTAAGAGATGCTTCCAGCGTCCCCTCGGCCTGGGAAAATCTGACAATCTCTATGGAGCAAATGCTTGCGACTCTTCACTCAGCACCTGAGTGGCTCCACATGGCCGTGCACATTGGTCCCCAGGCCCAGCCTGGGAATCTCAGCCTCAGAGCTTGGGCATGGAACACTCCTGAGCTGGCTCTGGGAACCAGCTGATGGCAGTGGCCTAGGGCAGGGATGCTTCCACTGGGGCAGAGCAAAGCTCAAAGACCAGTTTTGGTGGCAGCAGTGGGACAAATGGCAAATCAGGCCGAGATCCTCTTAGGGAACTGGCCTCACTTGCTGTTTCTCTCTCTGCCCGGGGTTTTTGGGATTACATGTGAGGTGTGCCGGGAGGGGGACGAGGCCTCGAGAAGGAGAGATCCCGGACTCCTTGATGACGTGAGTCCTGGGGTCTCCACCGGTCAATTCCGAAGCAATGCTTTGTTACCAGTTCATCTCCTGAAAAGATTAAGTGGTTCATCTTTACAGGCAGATCGAAAAAAAAAAATAATAACGTATTTCGGTTAATATTTATTTATAGCCACCCGGGCGCCCAATTTTTGTTTATTTTTTAGTATTTCTAAAGATTTCTGAAAATGAGAGCCTTTCTCCGATTAATGCGAGGTGCTCTGACTGCATACACTTGCAAAAAACATAAACGTTTCACAGAGGAGGGAATCTCTCCAGGCCTAGAGTCTTGGGTCAGGTTCCCCCGAGGAGACCCTGAGATGAGAGATTCAAAAGCGTTTACTTTGGCGGTGATTCCAGGAAGCGCCACTAGGGGGCGGAGGGCGTTGGGCGGCGCCGGAAAGAACAGGAAGCCAGTACAGATGTGTTCACCGAGCAGGCTGCTTCCAAGGGCAACTGGGGATCTCCGCAAAAGTATGCAGAATGTACTTGACACCTGGCAGGTGAGGAAGCTGCACCTTCCCTCACTAATACCCGTGGCGATGAACGACTGGGGGAGGGCTGCTTCTGGCCCTCCCAGCCGGTGCACAAGCTGAGAACATTCCTGCAGCCCGAGAAAGCCAGGTGTTGCGCGAACTCGCGGTAGGGAGGCGTCAGGCCGACTCAGAAAGGTGGATGCCGGCAGGAGGGCTAGGGGCAGGACACCAAGAGCATCTGCTACACCTGGCACAAAGTTCCCCTTCCCCGGTTCTAGTATTGAGCCCGGCTTGTCTGTTAACGAGGCGCCATTTTGCTTTCCCTTCTGCCTTGTAGGCTCCTTGAATGGAAGAGCTAGTTGCTAGTTCAGAACCTGACTTGGGCTCCCTGGGAGGCAGCATGCCCTTGACGTGTGTGGACAGAGAGCCACAAGAAGGAGACCTGCCTTCTGGAGGTGGGAGTCTGTCGTTTAATTCATCCCGGGGCAGAACCACCTCTCTTCCCCTTTCAACCCCAGACATCGCCATGTCAGTTGCGGAGATCTGGAAGTACCTCAGGCTGCTGTAAGCCCGTCGTAGGACGCAATGTTGCCAATGCGAGCTCTCCCCCAGCAGAAGTCCCCCTTAGGGGGTCCAGTCTCCGGTTTCCTCCGGGAGGCAAAAGTCTAGCTGTTAGTGCCAACCTCCCTGTTGAGGGTGGAGGGGAAGAGGGCTTAGGAGAGTCCTGATGATCACAGCTTTTGAAGGTGGATTTTGTAAGTAAAATATCCCATGACTTCCTGGGGAAGTCCTCTTGTTGTAGTCGTTGTGTTGGCAAAACCAACGTTGTGTTGGGTATTTTGGAATTCTTCATCAATTGTTATGCTTGCTTTTTACTAAGAATTTACCGTTTCTATTCTGTTATTGATACACTTTTTTCTTTTTCAGGGGCTTAAGGCTATTATGATTTCAAATATCTACCCATCTATATCTATCTGTCTCTCTATCTTCCTTCACTTACATTGGGGTTACATCCAGAGAAACCCATTGTAAGTTGGAAAACTTGTGTCAGTTGAAAATGCATTTAATACACCCAACCTCCTGAACATCATAGCTCAGCCTAGACTACCTTAAATATGCTCAGAATATTTACATTAGCTTCCTGTTGGGCAAAATCATCTAACATAAAACCTCTTTTATTTTTATTACCTTTTTTTTTCTTTAAGTAGGTTTCACACCCAGTACAGAGCCCAATGCGGGGCTTGAACTCATGACCCTGAGATCGAGACCTGAGCTGAGATCAAGAGTTGGATGCTTACGTGCCTGAACTCCCCAGGCGCCCCAGCCCTTTTTTTTTTTTTTTTTTTTATAATAAAGGGTTGAATGTCTCATATAGTTTGTTGGATATGGTACTGAAAAAAAAAAAAAGAATGTTGTATCGGCGCTGAATAGTTGTAAATGTATCAGTTGCTTGCCATCACGGTCGTGTGGCTGATTGGGGGTGCATCTCGCTGCCCTTGACCAGCATCCTGAGGGAGGACCAACTACATATCGCTAAGCCAGGGAAAAGATCCAGACTCAAAGTTCAGAGTGCGATTTCTCCTGAATGTGTATTCCCTTTCCACCATTGTAAAGTCTAAAAATCATTAAGTTGAGCCGTAAGTCAAAGACCATTCGTATATTCAAATCATACATATGTTATACGTATAATATATATGATTTCAACTTATATGCGTTTATAGTTCAAGTATATATTCAAGTATATATAATATATAATTCAAATATATATATATCTGTAATTTTAACAGGATATTCAAAAGGGGATACATACATATGTGCTTGTTCAAACTGTCTTTTGAACTAAAATCTTATTTTATTGTTTAAGGATACATTCCGTACCATTGACCATAAGAAGGTATGAAAACACAATAAAAAGGATCTCTATGCACTCGCATGGTAAGATAATTATGAAAAAAAAATCTGTCAATGAAAGTAGTTACAGAATATTAGGTTTATGATAAAGAGTAACAACCTCTCTCTCTCTCTCTCTCTCTCTCTCTCTCTCTTTCTGGTCTCCTCTCCTCTCTCGGTTTAGAGAAAGCACACCGAATATTTAGTAATATTGTGGGGGACTGAATTGTCCCCCACGCCCCCTGCCCCCCATTCAGAAGTTGAGGCCCTAACCCTCAATGTGATGGTATTCGGAGTGGGACCTTTGGTAATGATTGGGGTCAAAGAATTTCATGAAGGTGAGGTTTCCATGGTGGGGTTAGTGCCCTCATAAGAAGAGACACCGGAAGGAAGGGACACTGGGAAGCTTGCATCATCACTCTGTCCTCCCATGTGAGGACACAGAAGATGGCCATCTACGAGCCAGGAAGAGAGGTCTCACCAGAACCCAACCATGTGGCAGCTTACTCTTGGACTTCTAGCCTCCAGAATTGTGGAAGGGACAAAGAGAAGACTAAAGTCTCCACCCTTTGGATACTGGGCAGTGTTCAGCAGCAACATCAACTGGGTGGGTGAATAGTCAGGTGGGCACAGTGCTGAAGTCCTTGAAACCATCTGTCTCAACCTGCTGGGGACAGACCTTTGGAGGAACGTGGCTCAAAGGTCAGATGAGTGAGAGGTATAGGAAAGTGCCCAGGGGCCAGCGGCCTCACGCGGTCAGACCCGTGCAGTGACAGACCCCAGAATAGTGGGGCAAGAAATGCTACGGATGGCCACCTTCCCTCATGTCGCATCCACCTCTGCTCCCTCCCTGGCTGTCCCCACCCAATCTCTGGGGTGCATTCTCTAGTGGGCAGAGTTAAACCACATTAAAAAGCTGTACCTGCCCGTGTTTTCTGGCACTTTCCTCCCCATATATTTCTAATACTACTTCTCCCAGTGGCAGAGTCCATGGGACTGTGTAGGTGAAGGAATTCAGAGGGATTCATAGCCGTTGAAAGATTCGAGTGTGTGTATGGAACGAGCATCTGAAGGTGCTGTAATACCCCTCTCCTTCTCCCAGGTAGAAGCTAAATTCAGCACGGAGACTGGAAATCCCACATTGGTTTTGAGGTCTCCTTAGCAAATGACCAAGATGGCTTCCACATTGGTTATTAAGGCCTCTGCCTTAAATAAGGAGTTAATGAGCTGGATGAATTATTATTATTATTACTGATGTCATTTCCATTTAGTTACACCTTCATTCTTGATCCCTTGCTATAATACTATCTAATATTAAAATGCCACCATAACCCTAAAAAAAAAAAAAAAAGGCTGGGAATTTGATAGCTTGTGGAAAAGAATAAGATTATTGCTTAAATAGCTTCAGGTTTAAACGTATTAATATAAATCTGATGAAGGGGGCGCCTGGCGAAGCGTCCAACTTCGGCTCAGGTCATGATCTTGTGGTTCACGGGTTTGAGCCCCACGTCGGGCTCTGTGCTGACAGCTTGGAGCCTGGAGCCTGCTTCGTGGGTTCTGTGTCTCTCTCTCTCTGTGTCCCTCCCCCGCTCACACTCCATCTCTCTTTCTCTCTCTCAAAAAATAAATAAAACATTAAAAAAGTATATAAATCTGATAATAGCGCTTTCTCTGTATTTCATATATTCCCGAGAGTGCTGGAAAAAATAAATCCTAATTTATAGTCTATGTACTGATTACTTCAGAGGTTGATGTAACATTGAGCTGACATGGGTGTTCCGTTATTTTGGTATGAATATTTTGAAAAACAGATTGTTCCTTTAGACGTGCCTCACACACACAAAATAAATAATGCAGGAATTGAAACAAAATGAGTCCAAGGACTTTTGTCGATGGATTGATGTACACCTACTTATAAAACATTTGAAGTAATTCTTTGCCACCTTGATCCTGGCAGATCATGATTCTGCTTGGCAGAATCTCAAAATGTGTTCCTGGAACAAATACTCCAATATGTTCTTAAGTCTGCAACAGTCAAAAGTAACTCTTCAATTCAAATCCTAAGTATTTGGCCTGTTTCTCGGTAGCAAAACTGTCCACACTTCCTTTCCCTTCAAATCATCGATGCGAGAGTATCGCAACAGCATAAAATGCTGACAACAGAGCCCGTACAGTTTTTTTCTGCTTTGCTTCTCAATTTTTCAGTGGAAACACTTAGACTGTCAAAAATAATTTCTATAGCGTTGTCATCTGATATGGAAAGTCTGACAAATACCATTTTTCTGATTTCGATGCAGTAATTTATGAGGCACTGGGATCAGAAAGGAATTTCTGTCAATTCTATTCTTCACAACGTCTCTGCCCCCTGCCCTCCCCGGCTTAGGTAAGATTAATCCCATCTCTTCCTACAAAATCTGACTCGAAGTTCACCTTCCTGCGGGCAGTCTAGCCTGAGAAAGTCTTCCCCATTTTCTCTCTCTTCTACCTTAAACAGCCCTCTGTTCATATCTACATTGTACATTTGTGTGATATCAATGGAAAAACCATTAAAGTTTCTAGGAAGGGAAGATGTAGGATATGATTTACATTTCAGAAGTATTGTTCTTGCCAGAGGATAGGGGATACACTGAAGGGGAATAAGAATTGATAATGAACTGGGGTGTAACAAAGAGGAGATGCCAGAGAAGTGGTTTAGAAGATGACAAGGGCAATTGACAATGATTTAGTCTGAGATTAATGACAAGGTTTTGAGCCCGTGACATGGGGAAGATACGTGGCATTAACCCAGATGGGCTGTAAAAGGAGAAGATCAGATCTGGAGGGGATATCTGCATAGAAGGTAGAGGCACCTGATGAGTTCTATTTTAAGAGGTCCAAAGAGAGAGGACATCTCCATGGGATGTTCTAAAGAATCCATAGGTTGGAAATTTCCACAGGTTGGAAATTTCTCTGTCGAGTTTGGGAGAGCAAATGGAACAGGAAACAGAAGTGTAGTAAATGTGTGTGTGTGTGTGTGTGTGTGTGTGTATGGGGAGATTGGCAAATCTGTGGGAGTCCATAAGACTACAAGAAAAGTGCCTTAAGTACAAATTAGAAGGGACCTTGGAAATTCTTACATTTAGAGGGTTGTGGATCAGGAAAGAAGGACATTGGGAAGGAGGCCTCAGACAAGCAGGAGGAGAATGTAGAGCCTTATCTTAGAAAGAGGTTATATTGAATTTATTCATTCAATTAGATTTAGCAGACATTTATTGACCTACTAGAAAGACATACTGCTGGGCCCTAGCAACACAAAAGTGGTTCTTGCTCCTAATGAACTTCGAAAGGAGGTAGAGGAATGGATATGTATCAGGTTGAGTCATGCGGAACATTCCGCCATTTTTGACCCACAAAAACAGCGATTTCAGGCAGACCAACCTAATCCAATGCAATTACAGTCTTCACAGAGTTTTTTTTTTTTTTTAACAATGTCATTTCTATATACACAGAGAAAGGACTTAGAGCAAAAGACGTGTCCCAGAAGACCTGACGTATGTATGTTTTCCTGAATGACTTTCTAAAAAAAAATTGCTTAGACCTTAGAACCTTGTGAAATGTCATCTTTAACCTGTGGCTGACTTGCCTTATTGCTGCAACGTGGCTGCCAATACTTAACTTTTCGCTTATGTCCAGAGACAAGTGCAAATTTTAGTTCCTCTGGTAATGATCCAACAAGCACCCTGAGATCACCCTGTCATCCTGATCAGACCCTCTGGGTTCCAGGCTCACCCTCAATCGCGGTTGGGGAACTCGACGTGTTGATGATACTCAGGTCTGGAATGTCGCCCATCCATCATCTGGAAGAAGAGCCAAATCCATGCACATGTGTAGCTGCCGTCCAGTGAGATAGAGATAGAGATGATAGAGATAGAGATGGAGATAGGGAAGGCAACCAGCCATGTCACTTCAGAGCTTAAGGAACAGGGTGACAATTCCGATGCAGAAAGATTACTCTGTAGCCCTGTAGATGTGAATGTTGGAGGCGTGCTCTGTTGGAGACAGACCAGTCCGGAGGTGATCGAAGGAATCCCGGCAAGAAAAGATGAAGGCAGGGGTGACATTGGGGGGGCCATGTGAGTCAAGAGAAGGCAGGCTGATGCAACTTACGGTAAGATGTAGCTTGTAGAACTTGCGGGCCACCTTGACGCGGAGGGTGAGGGGGACAAAATCAGGGGAGAGACGACTCTCGCCTTTCTTGCCTGATCGATGGTTCGGATGGTGGTGCTGTCACTGGATAAGGAAGGGAAGGGGGAAGACATTTCAGTTTTGGTGGAAAGGTAACTATGTAATTTTTTGTCTTTCGACCCCCCCCCCCCCAACCTTTGGTTGAGATGACTTAGGAGTATAAAAATGGAGCCTGTCGTCGTAAGATGGGTGAACGGCTTTGGACTTGGAAGAGGCTGGAAATGCAGACTCAGGGCTGCCAATGTAGGGTTGAATACATGGGGGTGGCCAAGGTCTTCCTCGGTAGAGCTGGGATGGATTGGCAGTGAAGGCATGGGGCGGGGGCTCCCACAGGGGCACCGGGGAGAAGGGCTTCGGTTCCCAGCCCTGCCACCAAGGAGCTCTGCGATTTGGGGCCACCACTTTCAACCATTGTTTCCTTAACTGTGAAACAAGGGTAATACTAACAGTCTCACGGGCTTCTTTTGTTGATCACCCGAGGAAGAGTATACGTAAAGCTTTCCTGGTACCGGATACAAAGGAAGTATTTGCAGAAATTCTACGTCCTGCCTAAGACAATAAAGACAACCATTCGCCGAGGAGGTAGGTCCCGGCTTGCTCTTCTGGTCCTCATGGTCATAGCTGAGCAGGCCGTGGCCTTGGGAAGAAGCCCAGTGGACACGGCCACGGTCCAGCTTTGTGACCTTGGCCGAGGCTCTCTACGACTGGTTTCTCTTCTGAGAAAGGACGTTCCTGGTACATTCCACGGGCATGTTGTGGTACGTACATGAGGACACAAGTAAAATCCTTGGGAGAGTTCCTGGCACACGCTAGACAGGTAATGATTTTAAAGGGGCAAGACTCAGAGGGATTAGTGTCCCAGGGGCACAGGGGAGAGAGAACAGTGTCAGACTCTGGAACTTAATCTATGGCATGAGGACAAGGAGCGTCCCTGGATTTGGCAACGAAGAGGGACTGTTGACCCGGGAAGATGTGGTTTTGAAATTTTGCTGGGAGTGGAATCTGGCTGCAGGTGGGTGACAGGTGCTGAATGAACTTGAGGCCAATGGAGCCAGCATGACCTTCAGGTATAAAGAGAAGGAAAGGGAGGAAGAGGGTAGTAACTTGAGGGTCCGGAGGGTTGTAAATTTTTGTTACTCGGTTGGTTTTCGTTTTGTTTCAGCACGGAAGTAGGCCCATTTCTGGATCTCTTTGCGTGTTTCCAAGATATCCTTTTAATTCAGATTTTTAAAAAAATTTTTTAACGTTTATTTATTTTTGAGACAGAGAGAGACACAGCGTGAACGGGGGAGGGTCAGAGAGAGAGGGAGACACAGAATCCGAAACAGGCTCCAGGCTCCGAGCTGTCAGCACTGAGCCCGACGCGGGGCTCGAACTCACGGACCGTGAGATCACGACCTGAGCCGAAGTCGGACGCTTCACCGACTGAGCCCCCCGGGCGCCCCTAACTCAGATTTTATAAAGGATTATAGAAAATACTCATCATCCATTACTCGGGATGAAGGCCTTTTCTTTCTGCAGGTCTAAATAAGACAGGCTTGTTTGGATATAAAGACTATCCTTTTAATCAAGATAAATGGTTTGAAACTGTTAGAAATACTTTTTTTCCCCCCTCTAAATCACAGTCTGCTTAAGATCAGCCTAATCAGACAAGACAAGGAAATTGCACTGTGTTTGGAAACACGGGCAAGATAAAGACCCTGTGTGCTTTGCATTTTCTCGGCAAGCTTTCAATTCTGCTCTGAGTGCAAATCTTTTCTAGCAGAGGCGTGGCTAGTTCAAAGGCACACACAGGTACACACACATGACACACATAGAACTCCACAACCCGTGTGGAGGGATCGCAAAGGCTCTGGGACATCTCCGTAATGTATTTTACCTTGGGTGTAATTTGTGTTTCTACTTTTCTTTTCTTTTTTTTCTGCCAGAAGTTCTGTTTTCAAAAGACCACCCCAAATTAAAAGTAGAACATCCCAATTCAGCTCATAATTCAGCAGATAAATCATGGAGGAGATTTACACTCTTTGTAGGTAATCAGACCTACCATTCATCTCGGCAGATTCCTGGCTACCTTTTGGCTCTACTGAGACCATCATCTCGAACTGACTCCCCCAGAATGGAAGACAGTGATGACTTAGAATCCCCAGATTCGGCCCCTTGGACTCCTTCCATTGTTCAAATGAGAGGAAGTTGAGCTTTCCCCCAGATAAAGAGAATAAGCATTTTCAGTTTTTTCCCAAACATCGCTGATAGCTGCATTATTTTCAACTCCTTGCTACTTCTCAATCTCTTGCAATTATTTCTACCCCACCACTACTTTCCTCCAAACTCCTTTACTATAACCTATGTTCCTATTTCTTCCCCATGTTGAATAACTAAAGATGAGTTTCATACTAAAAAGCTAGAAACGAGTGGAGAAAAGAACTCTTAAGCTAAAAAGGCATCGGGATGCAGCTCAGGTACCTATGTTCATGGTGAGTTTCCTCACTTGAGAAGACACCCGTGTCTAGGGCTGAGAAGCGGGAAGAGGAGAGAGAAGCAGAGACTAAGGAGGAAAGAGAGGGTGACAAGGACAATGTCACAAGCGTAGCTGGCTTGCTGTCATTGCTTCCACGGATGGTCCCCAAGAAAAGAGTGGAAAGGGAGTCAAAGACTTGCTTGCAAAGAGTTGAGTAGTAATACTCCATACCAAAGTAGTACTTTGCTGCATTGAGCAAGACTCTATCAATTTCGCCTGGTAAGAACTCAACTCAAGTTAGCCAAAAGGAATTGACTGGCTGATGTAACTGAAAATGCCAAGAGTTAATTCTATTTCAGGCATGGATGGATGGATGTTTAAATAGACAATATCATCATGTTTTATTGTGACTTTTCTAGGTTTATAAGTTTCCTTTTTTTATGTTTATTTATTTTTGAAAGAGAGAGAGCAGGGGAGGGGCAGAGAGAGAAGGGGGCACAGAAGATCTGAAGCGGTCTCTGGGCTTCAGACAACAAAGAGCCCAATGTGGGGCTCAAACCCACGAACTGTGAGATCATGACCTGAGCCGAAGATGGACACTTCACTGACTGACTCACCCAGGCAGGGGTCCTGGTTTCTAAGGTTCTGAAATGTCATTCTTTCAGAGGGACTGATAACCTTTCAGACTTCCAGAATCCCCTATCAGTCTCTGCAAAAGGATTCTGATTGACCACAGAGGGGCCACGTGCCTATCTTGGAACCGTCTCTGTGTCTAAGGAAGTCGGATATTCTTGTATCCTCAGCCGTATATCTCTCACGGGGGCAGTGGACACGGGCACCTTGATCGATAGTTGGACCAGAATTAAAGGATGTGGAGCAGAGCAGTTCCGAAAGGGAAGAACTACCAGCCAAACAAAACAGTAACAGCTTGAAATAACCACACAAACTAATTCAGTAACTCAGAGGAAACTAAGGCACACAAAAGTGACCAAAAAAAGGATATGATGTAGTAAAAAGATCTTACATTAGCGGTAGATGTCCTTGAGCATCTCAGGTGAAGCTCTAACACAGAAGGGAGAACTTGTTTTGCCGGTTGTCGTATTCCTAGAGCCTGCTGCATAGTCGGTGTCGAACACAGTTTCTTTGTTATTAGAGTATCGAGCGAAGCGAAAGGTAAAATAATCAGCCGGGGACTATCAAGTCACAGGAGCAGAGGTGGGAGGATTTTCCTTATCACAGTTAGAATCAAATAGGGAGCCCTCTCGAGTAGGAAGGAGAGGATGATGGATGTAATCTGTGGTGTGCTGGTAAGTGTTTAACAACAGGATCTCCAGGGAAAAACCAGCATCCTGATTGGTAGCAATTGCTAATTTCTGCTGCGTGTATATTCCCGTCCATGGTTGATTTCAGGTCACCAGGAAGAAGCCCCGAAGGCACAGTTGGAAAGAGATGCACACGATTGGTTGTCAGGAGCCTCTGTGCACTGGCTGTAGCCCAGCGTGGGATATAACCAAACCTTCTATGCTCTGATGAAGGTTGGTTTCCCCTGAGCCTCCTTGTATGAACTCCTTGGAAGGGGTTGCCTCATTGTTTGTGAAACCTGGGGCTTTCTGGGGGCAAGAGATGGAAATCCAAAACCCTTATCCCAGTGTATGAAATTAGTTAATCATAATGAAGTGACTCAAAATGGTTTTGATAAGATTCTTTAAAAAAAATTTTTTTTTAATGTTCATTTATTTTTGAGAAAGAGAGAGACAGAGCATGAGCAGGGGAGGTGCAGAGAGAGAGGGAGACGCAGAATCCAAAGCCAAGCTTCGAGCTGTTGGCACAGAGCCCAACGTGGGGCTCGAACTCACGGACCTCGAGATCATGACCTGAGCCACAATCGGATGCTTCACCGACTGAGCCCCCCAGGCGCCCCATAAGGACCTCAAGGATTCCAAAGAGAAACGCCACATGGCACCAGCAGGTGCCTTGGTGACCCGGGTGTAGCATTGGCCCCAAGTGTTTCTAAGAATTCCTATGCAGCTGATGGCTGAAGCTAGAAGCTGCTACGTACTCAGCCACCCAGGCAAGGGGGGTGTGCTTCAGAGAAAATAAGGTTAAGAACTAGAACGTAACTAAAAATATTACAGCCACAAAGCCCGCTGTGTGCACCACTTGGGCTCCAGCAGGTTTCCAGACAGCAAAGACATCACCACCGTGGTGGACAGTGTCCACTTTCCATGGCAAAACAGGAAGAACAACAGTAATGGACACCAGGAGTTCGCGAGTAAGACCCAAGTGCTCATGGAGTGTATCGGTCAGGATAGGCTCAAGTATGCTGTGCTAACAAGCAGCACCAAAGTTTCAGTGGCTTC